TTTATAGGTGACCACTAGGGCTGTACACTTAGTTTTCCATGGCTTCTGTATTTGAACAGAATGATAACAGGTCTGGGAAGTAAACTGGAAGTAGTTCTTGCTGAATAGGTGGTTCTCCCTGTTCTAGAGTTGAAGGGAGTAATGCAAATTGGACTGCCCCACCTTTTACTTAGGTATTAGCAACAGCTACAGTTGCCCATGTTATTGCTGGAGAGCAGGGTATTGAGGATGTAGAGGTGGTCCTTGTGGTTTATCCTGTTCCATTTAAGCCATTAATTAGGCTGTGGCATCAATAGCTGGAGTTGCATGTGTCATCAAGATTTATGTTGCTGTGGCAACAAAGACAGTCACAACTGTACTGAATTTCCTAGATCTCTTCTTCTTACCCAAAATGATACTGAGAATTCCCATCAGTGCATGAATAAGTGTATATCCAAGAGGGGGCCTCATTAATAGGTTGAAATCTTGTGTTCACTCTTGAATTRAGTGAATTCATGCTGCTCATCAAAGGGCTGGAGAAAATAGGCAGTTGCAAGAGAGAAGATAAGGAAGGYCTGTGGCTCAAATTAATCAAGAGCAATTGATTTCAAGACATAGAAGAGTAATGCAGGAAAATTACAGGTCAATGGTTACAGACCATTGACAAAAACTTTGTGACATATATCAGGAATTGTGTTTGGCCTGTATCAGGTATTGTGTTTGGCCTGGATATAAAGGCAAGGAGGAGCTGAAATGATTTTAGAGGTCAGTTTGATGATATATCAAATTAAATACTTGTGCTGCCATAGTGCATGCTAAAGGAGATGGAGGAAGGTGTAATAAACACAAAGAAGATGGAAGATAAGAATCATATGTGACTGGAAGGGGATAACTTGAGGTAGGCAAGGAGGACCACAAGTGATTCTGAACCGCTGGTAAGTGTGTAAAGGTTTTGGTAGACTGTGGGAGAGGCAGTGTTTTTGGACTGACCACTGCCCCCTGTGCTTCAGTGTCAGGGCAACCCAGGCATCTGGGAGCCAGCAAATATTTTGTCTACTTGAGGGTGAGGTATTTAATGCCATTAGTCAACATCATAAATTAAATGCTTTCAGAAAGAAAAGCAAAAATTCAAACACACTCCACTTGCCCGAAAAAATGCCCCAAACATGTTTTTTTTTAAAAAAAAATTGAAATGGGAGTTACTGATTTTAGTTGTTTTCATTTCAAGGTCACTAGCTTAAATGTACTTCTTACTTCAGCAGTGATAGAAAACATCCAAGCAGCATGACTTTTATTAAAGCAGTATCCTTGAAAAATTAATTATCTAAAAGGTTGCAAAATGTTAATGCAAAGGGAAGAAATTAGATTACCTCAGAGTCAGAGAACTTTTACTAAGATATATACCTATGAAAATATATATCAAGTTTATACAATTCCTTTTACCTCCTGGAAAGCTGTAATGTTTTAGGGCTTTTTTTGTTTGGTTGGGCTTTTTTTTTTTTTTAAACAAGGAGGCAAAGCAGCAGTGTAGGAAAGAGTTCAATGGACTATAACCTACTTACTTTCAAACAATATGTTGATATACACAGTTACATGTGATGGACTGGTGATGCATTTCCCTGCAAATTCAGCAGAACTGGCAATTCAGTTTTCATTCAATTTCCTCATTTAATAGATCAGCTGCAGCAAGGGCCTGTTGTCTCATGAGCAAATCACCAGGAAGATGACCAGGAAGCACTGAAAGGGAAGAGAATCCTGCTCTTCAGTTTRATCCAAGCTGCTTGTTTGCAGGAGGTGGACGTTTGTTGAGCTKCATTCACATTTCAGGGTCTTGGCAAAACTTGCTGCAGAGTGACTGAACAGCTCAGTGCCAGTTTCGTGCACACTCCCATCCCTGCTCCTGCATGAGCCTCTGCATGAACCTTTTGACAGGAACAAAAGCACAAGAGAAGAAGAATTGAGCATGGGAAAAGTGTGTCCATGATTAACACCTTCTGCTTCTCTTTGCTGGTCTTAGCAGACAACTTCTGGCAGCTGAAATGAGAACTGGAGCAGATGCTGAAGCYGTGGGATTTCTGGRCAGATTTTCATTACCTACTTTGCGAAACAGACTTTCCAATTATCCTGGAAGTTAAATCCAGAAGTTGGATGAAATGAACATTTCCTACAATTTGCGTCCAACAGAGGCACTGTCTGGTACTTTCAAAACAAAGAAGCTGTAATGGTTGGTTAGGAGAAATAGCAGCATTGAGTTTGGCTTGTAAACTTACCCCAGTTTCTGGGGTTTTTTGGTGACAGCATACTTGTGTGAAAGTGGTACAGCTGCAGGTCAGGGCAGACTCCACAGGTTCCTTGCGTTTTGTAAACATTGAAATGAAGAGGTTAATTGCTAGGACATTTCCCTGCCGTGCTGCAAARTAAAACCTGATAGTATTATGGTTCTCAACTGGAAAGTCAAATTGGCAASTCTGATTTCATTTGTGTGCCTTAATTATCTGCCAAATATAAACAATCAGCAGGAATGGAAATGGTTACAAACTGGTACATGAAATAATTTGTCTTTTAGTATACTACTGTTRTTCTATTATAACAAACTTCTTTTCTCGACAATATTTATTAAGTATATCTAAAAATAATAACCTGTAGTGGAGTACTGTAATACATGGAAGTCTCCAGAATGTCCCATATAGCTGAAGGCTCAGTACCAAATCACAGTGAACAAGAAAGTTAAAGGAAGAGCTTAATGGTCATGTGATGCAATAGGAAACTAAACCAGGTCTCAGTCTGCATTAGAATTCAATGTAGACATTTTAGGAAAATAGAGAAAAAAGGCAGCATTTGGAATTCAGTATGAATGGTTGAAAACATTCTGCATTTTCTGTTTTTTTTTAAGAACTGCAAAGATTGAGCAAAGAGCTGCAAGTGGAAAGACAAAAGAAAGCACTTGGATACACTGAACCACATAGTAACTAAACACGAAATGTAAATTAGAGCAGGGAGCTTCTCAGGCAAGAAAAGAAAAGAAAATGATTGTTAGTCTTTGGAATTACTACTTATAAATAGAGGATTGCTAGGCAGTTGAACAACAAAATAGTGTATGTTTTGAGGCAGAGAAAAAAGACAGCTGGGGACATGACACACCTAATTTGTTTTATTTAAGGGTCAAATAAAAACAAACGAATGGGCTTTTGATGCTAAGGAGTACCTRCTTGAAGTTACTGCAGCTAACCCATTCTGTGTCACAACATACCTTGAAATGGCATTCTGAGAAAAGTTCTGATTGAGTAACTTCTGGCACATGTAATATAATACCAAGTCTGTGTTGCTTCTCTTGTTCAATCTGTTACAGCTTTTCACTCTTCGATGACACTGAAAATGTGCCTATTAGCAACGTACTATGCTGTTTCTGCATTTAATTTTCATGTATATGTGTATATTCACCTGGTGAAAGGTGAGCTAGTGCATCATAAAAGAAAATTGTGAATTGCAGAAAAAAGATTGAAATGTGGTGATATGTGAAGATATGTGAAAATATTGAACATAAATGTTTTGAAGRGAGATATTCATAGATACTACTGTCAGAATAGACTGTGACACTTGTTACAGTTTGTGTCAACTTCTTACATAGTGCCAGTGAAATGGATCAAATCTTACATACTATTCTTAACTAACTTGAAGTAAATTAATTGCTTTTTTCAGTCATTGTGATTAACATCTTTTAAATGAAAAAKATTGTGTTTGCAGGACAGGTCTAGGGCAGATTGTGTCTGTARAGTGGCTGAGGTGACAGCTCACATTATTTATTACACATACATTTTTAAAAATAATATTTTTTTTCATAGATACCGTAATTCCTCATATATTCTCATCTATTTTCTCATACTAATGTATTTCAGTACTAAAAGTCAAGAAGAAAATTTTATTATGATTCCAAAATGTATATYATTTGAAAATCAAGGAAAATAAATTAAAATCTTTGCTTCTGACATTTTCAAATGCAGTCAAAGGAGTCACTTTCATAATTTTATCTTGTTAATATGTTGCTTACTCTATTGGAAACAGGCTTTAATCTCTGTTGAGTTCTTGGACAATTGAATGAGTTCTGTTGTAATAATGGGAAGAAATAATTCCCAAATAAACAGGGAGTTTGAATTACYTTCAAGAATGCCTTAATACTTTGAAACTTAATCTCATCAGCCCTCATCAGATATCCAAACCTGAYCTGATTGGTCCTTGGATGAGAGGATATATTAAGGAAGATTTAAGATTGTGTATGAAGGATTCTGTGTCTGCATCTACTTGGTGTTCTACATGAGCTTAGGAGTAATACCCAAAGTGTAAGAAGATACYACTTCTCGAATCACTGAAGTGAAATATTTTGCTAAGAAGATAGTGGAGTGGGAGTAGGGAAGTGGAGGTTTTGTTTCAGTGAACTCATCACTTTGAGAGGGTTGATAAACCACAAATCATGTGTCATTTAGGGACTTGGTTTCAGGCTTTTTGACCAGGCTGTGTTTCAAGTAACTTATTAGTAGTTTGCCAGCCTACACACATTAGCAACAACAGAAAAGTTGTTTCTTTACATCCTGCTAGATGTTGCATGAAATAATTTGTTACTCCTGTTGGACTGATGTCAYGAGGGCCTTTCCAAGCTAAATGATTCTATGATTCTATTATCATTCTGCACTTCCACTGAATACAGGCTCTCTTTTGAACCAGATAAGCTTTTACTACATTGATGACCTTGGGAATGTGTTTATTATTGAATAGGTATATGCAGTTACATAATGCTTCTCAGGGGAGATGATACAGTCACATTTTTTCATGACTTTCATGAAATAAAATCAGATCCTTTGAGTAGATACTATTTTATAAATATAGCTAACATGGATGTAATAACGGATGTAATAATTTTATGAATGTGAATGTACAAGGTCCTGAATTATGCATACCTATAAAATGTAAAGTCTATTCTYCAACAGTTTGTGTTTAGTTGTACATAGTCTTCATTATGTTTTCAGGATGGAACATGAGGCTACCCAGCTAGAAAAGCAGCACGTGCACAGTGTGTATGAAAACACAGCTGCCTACTTTAGTGATCTGCAGACCAAAGCATGGCCTCGTGTTCGGAACTTCCTGCTGGAGCAAAAGCCTGGAAGTCTCGTTGTTGACATAGGTAAGCCTGTCTTTGATGTGGCATGAAAGATTGTTTATAAATTTTATTAGTTTTTGTGTTAATCATATGTAGCCTTTAGATCAACTGCATTTAGACCTTGTTAAAATTTATTTTAAAATTGTTTTTAAGCCCCAGTGCTAGATGCCATGTACTACTTCTTTTAATTCTTTGGCAGTGTATCAGGTAGACAGTAAATAATTCTTTCCTTTATTTGTGTTGCTCTAAGACTTAATCTATCCTTTTCCCCACCAGCTTAATGGTCTGTCATTCCCCTGGAGCCCTTTAAAAAAATTATGTTAATAGCTCAATTATTTAACATTTCAGTTTATTTACATCTCTAGGTTTGTGTACTACCGGTCTGCAGGTTTTTGGTTTTCATTTGTTCTAAAGCTCCTACTAGCGAGGCTTTTTATGAAGAGAAATCTTCTGATGTGATTGCTATTAAAAATATTTTAAAAAATAAATAAATCTGAGAATCTCCCTGTGATCCTAAATATGGACACCAAAACCTTGTTTTCCTGTTACGGCATTGTSTTCCTTACATATTCCGTATATACCTTGAATTTCTGTTGCTCCTGCAGACTTTCTGGGGGYKTCCAGGTGCTGGTGTGTTTCCTTTRCTGSCATTATGACTTCGATCCTAAACATCATATCATTGTGAAACAAATGCTTGTTTGTACCATTGCATTTTCCTTATTGTTTAAAYTAATAAAATGCTTTTACAGAGCAAGGTTTAACAAATGTGCACAATAAATTATGTATCTGCTTTATCCTGTAAGAGAAAATCATTATTTGAATATGCTGTAGGCCATAATCAGAATATATARTTCTCCTGCTATAGTTGAGCACTACACCAAATATACTTGATTGTTGTTATTTTGAATATGTAGCTATTTTTATGTCTGCACCATTTTCACTACTAATCTCAGGAAATATCCTATGCCATACACAAGTCAGAGTTAAATTGATAMKTCTCAGCCAAAATTATGTCACCTCAATAGAGGTAATTCGAAGCTTAGCTGAAGTTTTTTGAGTCTTTATCAGCAGATATCATAAGTTCTCTGAGGCTTTATCARCAGTGATTGCTGAAAGCTTAAGGTCACCCTGTCGCAGTCTCATCTTGAGAGAAAGTCAATCTCTCACAGCTGCCAATAAGAATTATCTTATTAAGGCTGACAAGGTATCTTATTTTATGAGGTTTAATAAGAGCTACAGGAATCTGACTATTGTGTTTACTTTTGGTATGTGTTTAAGGAGGAGTTGCACTAAAGTGGCACTAGTACCTAGCGGTACTAAAATTTTCAAAATGAGAACTTTAATTGATAATTTTCTTTTCAGTTTAATACTACGGTTTATTAAAATATCATTTTGTCTAGTTACCTTACTATTTTTCACTGATCAAAACACATGAAAATAGCTTGGCCAGTGTTAGCKTCATGGAGGAATTCACCCTCCTGATGACTCCTTTAAAAGAGAATCTCTGGCAGATGTACATTTTTAGAATACTGGGATTATTGACACTATTTAACTTCATTCCAGAGAGGACCATATACTTCCAGAAACTCACAGTGCTTAAAAAGCATTTCACCAAAAGGCATGTATTAAGCTACTGAATCTTCTAAATTAATGTGTGGTTGAATAAATGTGTTCCTCTACAAACACAATAATAAGTAACATTTTATACAAATTTTTAAAAATTACATTTTCTATCTAACAGGCAGAGTTTCATGTTTTATTGCAWATGTTCTTTGAACTGTGTTAGCAATATAAGTATTTTCCATTTCTCTCAAGTGTTACTTCAAAGAATAGTGCTTCCTTTTAGTTTAGAAATATGTTTTTTCTTCACTGAAGTGTTTTTGTGGTCTGCAGTAGTTCCTGTGCTGTCTCTCTAGATAATGATGCACATTAACATCACCGACAGCAGTAGTGCTGCAAGAAGCAGTGATGTTTTTAAAGATAACTCCAGGCCTTTAAATTGAATTACCAATACTGAGATGATTCTCTTTGCCAAGATGCTGCCCCGCTGCTTGGCTGTCAACTTTCAGAAATTATTGCTCGCTAGTGACCCAGAACTGCAGTGAATGTTTCATATTATAATTTTGAAAAGTGCCTGTTATGCATAAGGCATTGAGGGATCCTCTGAAAGATTTCAATTTACACAGCACAGTCCTTGAGAAGACAAGTTTTTTAGGTGAAAGACATTCTGGAAAGGTTCATTGCATTTACGTGGGTTATAATGCATTGGCACAAAGACAAAAAAAGGATGCCTGCAACATGGAAAGAACTTCCATGATTTATGTTTATTTTCGAGTTTGTATTGAAAGTAAAAATTTTCCTCTCTGACTTGTGTCAGTGGCATTTATGGTTTAGGATTTCTGGGAGAGAAATGGGATGCACTGGAGYGGTACTGCATGGGTTTGGCAAAAATTGGGGAGGGATGGGGAAAGAAATCTATTGCAGATCACGGAAAAGACAAAACACACTGGCTTCAGGAAATCCCCTGAACAGAAAGTAGTTGGAAGCTGGAGGGGTGTTGGGGAAAAGGACCATAATGCTTATCCTTTTCTTACCCTCTCCTGGATGCCCATTTATGCTCATTGTTGGAAATGGGATACCAGGCTATATAAAGACAGTATGACGCATGGTTGGTTTTTCTTCCTCTGAGATGTACAATAATGGCCATGGAGGACCCCATTTTCCTCTTCCCACCTGTACTTGTCCTTATTCCCTTCAGAAATACAGATAACCTGCTGTTATACAGGGCTGTTGTAATGAGTATTTTTGTTGGTGATGTTGCTACTGTTACAATCCTAATAGTGTGAACATGTAATTTCAACAGTCCAAATGAACCCTGCAGCAGTTAGGCAAGTAGGCACAAGCCCTYATTTTGTTTTCCAGGAAAATTTAGGATTAGGAAAGCCCTCATGTTATCTTCACTGCTTTGGGAGGGATAGCAAATGTTTGGAATATACAAAAGAAAATGTTTGGAATATGCGACATCTGACCTAGTGTCCTTTTCTTTAGGTTGTGGAACTGGAAAGTATCTCAGTGTCAACWGTCAAGTGTATAATCTGGGCTGTGATTACTGTGAAGCACTGGTAGAGATTGCAAGGAAGAAAGGTGATGAAGTTCTGGTGTGTGACAACCTTAACCTTCCCTTTAGGGATCAGTGCTTCAATGCAGTCATTTCAGTTGGAGGTAAGACAGCAGACCTGCATTCTGGCCCCAGCAAATGAGGATTTCTGAGTATTCTTTTCTTCCCATGTGGCTTCATTTCAGTCAATTGTTTTGAAACACTTCCATAGAATCACGGGAGTTGCAACTAAAATGAATATAGTCAACATAAAAAAACAAAACTCCATTACTCTAAAGGCKCTGTTGACCAAGGAAATATGTGTATCATTTGTTTGTTTGTATGGGGTAGAGAAAAGATTCCCTTCCAGCACACATTTTAAACAAGTGAAAACGAGTATAAACGTGACTTCTCAAAGTTTAAACAGTTTAGGTGGTCAACACAAACTCTTGGTTTCTCCATAGGCTGTTTTGATCAGCAAATGCATTGAAATTAAAGCTTATCAGCAGAACTTGAAACTCATATTATGTGTTAAGAATTCAGATTTCTCTTAGTCATGAAATAAGAGCTCAGAGTCATACAAGTGCTTGTCATCTATAATGAGCAAAGCATCTGAGCATCTTAACTCTTCTGACCTCTCTTTTTGGAACTATTRCACATAATTTGAGAAGAGTAAATTGGAAAGTGATTTGCAATAGTTAGAAAATAGTTAGAGTACCCAGTTACAGTCTGCATTTTTAGATGTACTCTTGCTTGCTCTTCTTTCAGGATTTTTTAATGCATCAGCAAAAATATAAAGCATGATAATTAATTTTGATAGCAATCAACAAACTACTCAAAATATGATAGAAATGTATTTTAAAAGTACATTTTTCATGTAAACACGTGGAAAGAAAGGTTGACTAATACACGAGCAGTAATCATACTACTTTTTTTTTCATGTTGGCTAGTTAACCAGTGAACCCTACCCACATTTTAGGTCTTGTAGCATAATTGCARAGCTATCAGATCAGCTGACTTTGAAGGATAGCATACCTGTCTAGTGTTTATATAAATTATAAGCMTGACAAGTTTAAAAGTTCACACGCTATTTTAGCACATTTAACAATAACAGATTTTAATCCCTCTTGAATAGACATGGTATGCCTGTGTCCATCCAATTCTAAATAAAGTGGTTATCATCCCATTACAGAGGAAAACAAGTATTTATGTATGTAGTCAAGTGCTCTTCTTGGCTTTGCTGGTATAATCATGTTTATAGGATTGATTTTTCTGCAGAATCACCAGAGTGATTCTAATGAGGAGAARTATTTAATCCATTAAAGAGTTTGCAGATTCTGTTGGTTGATTGTCATTTCTTTCTGGTAGAGTAAGCTTGCATGCTTATGCTGTCTCTGTCAGATTTGCTAAAATTTGCAGGAGGTTCTGTGGTGATATATGGCCTAACTCCAGTATAGGAGAAAATATCAGTTCCTTCTCCCTATCCTGTGCATAAAAAAATTGATTTTTAAAAWTTTTTTTTCAAAGTCCAGGGAAAGATTCRCTGGAGTCARGAGCACCTGGAAACAMACACTGARCACATAGACAGGAAACTTTTCTCAGATTTGGCTATTTTGTGTTCTTAGCAGCTTGTGACGACCTAGTTAATATCAACTGCCAAGAATGCTTTTCTTGCCTTGTGATAATGAAGCTACATTTCCACCCCCCCCCCCCTTTGTAATTTAATTATTGTGTTGAATAAAGACAGGGCTAGCTAGACACACTTTTCATAACTGCAGTGTTAAAATAACACTCTTTCTACAACTAACATTGGCTATGGTCAAGCAGCATACATAATCTGATTTTTCTGAATGGAGAGATCTTCAGCTAAGAACATACACTATTATCTGCTGTTCCGTGGTAGATTGAATGTTTTTCATGTAGAAATGGCTGGCTCCAWGTCCACTTGAAACAAATTATGGAGTCAGTCTTCTTTACATCACTGATTGAATCAGATCTAGTACTGATGACATACAGACCAACATGACCAATGTGTCCACACTCAGTACAATTTAATGCTTCTGAGAGTTTAGACAGAAAATAGTTGTCTGAGCTGTTCTCTGACTGCTAAAATTGGCTCATTYGTACTCCAGGTGAACAGGAAGGTAGAAATAATGTGGAAATCTTGAAATGTAGCTTCATTTCACATTGGAGTGAAATTTGAAAATGTGGCAATTGTCCTGAAAAGAAAATCCAAATATAGTGATCAAAAGTTTTATTTTGAATTTGACCTTTTATTTTTTAATAGCATAACATAACGTTAAAAAAGTCATGCTCAGACATGCAATATATATATTATTTTTTACAAAAATTAGATTTAATTTTACAAAATAAAAGCAATGGTGAATATTTGCCTTAATTTTCTCACTAGCTCTTTTGAAAGTGTGCTAATACAAAAGTTCTAAGTGTCTTTTTATTGATACTACATTTTGCTGTATTTGTTATATGGTGAAAATATTTTCTGTTTTCAGTAAGGTAAGTCTGAAGATTGTGCCAAAAAATTAACTCAGCTTATTACTACCTAACTCACCTAAAGGCCAGGCATTTAAGTGAAAGTTTKTCATGTTATAATGTGTTATGTATTATGCAGAGAAACAGAAACCTCCAGTTTATATGCCTGACTTTTCCTGAATCCGTGGTTTGGGATGGGATTMGTTTCCTTCTTTCAGATTTTCCTATTTTTATCCATTGAACATAATCATAGAAGAGACCATTCTGAGGTGAACTTACATTGTGGTACTTATAAATTCAGCACTGTTGCTGACTTGCAGCAAAACGATATTTGGGATGAGACTGAAATGATTGMACATGTAGAACAGGCTGGAGATGAAAATGGTCTGTCCTTACTAATATTGAGTACAAAATACCTTTCTTTTTTTTTTCGCAGTGATACATCATTTCTCAACTAAGCAAAGAAGAATCAAAGCAATACAGGAAATGGCAAGGGTATTGATACCTGGAGGTCAGATAATGATTTATGTTTGGGCTATGGAGCAAAAGAATCGTCGCTTTGAGAAACAAGAYGTGTTTGTTCCATGGAACAAGGCCTTGTGCTCACGCCATTTTTCAGAATCAAATCAGTCTGGAGATAAGGGTGAGTTTGTGCCTGCTGCAAAAGGCCAAGACATGCACCCTGCACAGCTTGTGATCTCTGAGTGCAGCTACCAAACCAATCTGCAGCCAGAAACTGATTCCAAACAGTCCCTCAATGTGGGCCATTGCTTACCCAGAGCCTGCTGCATGAAAATTTCTGAAGAAGAAAACAGATTTTACAGTGCTCTAGGAAGATCTTTCCGCTCATGGTTTTTCTCTAGATCMCTTGATGAATCAGCCCTGAGAAAGCAAAATGACAAAATGAAGCAYCTGAAACACAACGGAGTGTGGGCAAACAGTACCGTACCCATTGAGCATTCGCGACACTGCAGTTTGGATTTGGGTCACCATGGGACACTGTTAAATGAACAAAGTTTAGATGATGATGATGTGTTCGTGGAAAGCCTGTCTCTCAAAAAACCAGAGTGGTCTCCTGCCACAGATGCACTGAAGGATTTAAGTTTAAATGGAGGACCCCAAAGTGTGGCTCAGAGCAGGGGCGACAAAGCTTCATTTCTGAATGGCCCAGTGGAAGACAGGGACTGCATCTGTGGCTGTAGTAAAGATGGTGCTGGTAAGTCTGATGCCAGCAAGATTTTCAAAAGAACTTCAACAACTGACTCCACTGACTCGGCTTTGGATTCAGCAGTGTCTGTTGGGGACCAAACTGATGCCATGTTGGATACAAAAGCCTTCATGCGTTACTACCATGTTTTTCGGGAAGGGGAGCTGTGTTCTTTGGTAGCAGAGAATGTGCCTGAGCTTCAGATACTTTCTTCCTGCTATGACCATGGAAACTGGTGCATTATTGCAGAGAGAAGAAGAACATAGCAGTGAAGAGAACAAAGCAGAATCCGGTGACTGATGATTTTAAGCTGTTCATTGTGTTACTGTGATTGTGCAGTGTGACATGGAATTTAAATCTTGTAGTTGTGTGCCATTCATCTTTGAGTTACTTTCTCTCAACTATTTAACTAGCTAATGCAATGCCTGTATATAGGAATGTAAGCAGTAGGCAATATTTATGTTTTGTTAAACTTTTACGAAGTTAATACTGTAGAATTTTATATTGCTTTTAGGAAATAATTGTGTTTTAAAAKGTACTTTTCTATTGAGAAATAAAACCTTTTTTATAAGACAAGGATCAGGGCATATTTTATGAGAAATAACCTCTCAGCAGAAAGTCTTGTCYTTATTCTTCAGATGCTAAAAGTGTGTCACATTGCTCCGTGTTCTTGAAGTCCTATAAATGAGACACAGGCACTATGTCTACAATTGACTGTACTTGACTGTCCCCTGGTAGAGTGCATGCTGCAGAACTGCAAGCATGGTCCCAGTGCTACTTAGTRGGGAGTAGAGTTGTTAATAGGCAAAAACTATGTACCAAACAAGCTCAGCATATTCTGTCATTCAGTGTTTGAATTTGGGAGCAAATGACAGCGCAGATTTTTGACATTTTTTACTTTTGTTTTAAAAATAATTTAATTATTTTCTCAGGTGTGGGTGAAGTTCTATRTGTTACCTCTCACAAATACTTTAATTTCCTTTGCTGTAGTTTCTCATTGGTTATGAGTATATAAAAGTCGGAGGGATCTGCACAGAGTTACTCCATTCCTAGGCTTAATTCATAGTCASTGTGTGCAGGGCACATCTTCAGCTGGTGTGATTTTGTGACCTTTAAAGGAGCTGCTCAGATTCACACCCCTTCCTCCCCCCCCAAAAAAAAAAAAAAAAAAAAAAAAAAAGAAAAAGAGTCCTGAAACCCTTTTTGTTGCAGCAGTTTTAGAGATCTACATAATTGTCTGCCCTGTTATTGAGCTAGTAGCTTTTGGGTTTGTTCAGTGGAAGAGAGGCCCTGATGGGGCTGAGTATTTTTTGAAGTGGCTTCCCAGCTGTTAATTGCCACATGGTAATGTATTATAGATTTATTTACTGGAACAATGTCCAYGAGCAATCATTTTTGTCTTCCTCATAGCTTGGGATCCTTGTACTTGATCCTTCCTGGGTCTGTACCACTTRCACTCCTCATGGGCCTTTGAAAAGTGTGGCCAAAGAACCATACGTTTTCTGAAATGTTATTCCCCTCTAAATGTTACTTTCAGTGCAGCCTGGGGCAGTGGATTTCAGTTGCTGTGTGTGAGCCATACTTCAGAAAATGGGCARTATTCCCTACCTGGCTGGGTGCAGCTGCTCCTGGCTGAAGGGGCTGCACCTGCTGCATCCTCAGGCTCCAGATTTAGACAATTAGTGCCAAAGTACCCATATTGCAGAGCCAGCATGGATTGCACTGAGCTCCACACCGTATTTACAATGTGCTTGTGTCAGACAGGGGAGGCCTGCCTCTTCTGTTGGGAATTTCTGGACGAGCTTGTGAATTGTAGAAGACAGCTGCTTCCAGATAAAGTATGCCAGTGGATAKTCAGCACTCCYGGATTCTGGGCTGYATTTAAGAAAAAGGTAGATTATTARCATYCTATATCTAATTCTGAAACTTCTTCCCCAAATGCCAGCATGCAGAAACTTAGATACAATAATATTTAGTAAGTATTATATATCTTAACTGACAGATGGGTTTATTTAATTGGGAGAAAGAACACCACAATTTTGTTATCTGCACTTCTGCAGTCTGACTGTGGCTTGTTCGGTGTGTAGTTAAGGAGACTGATGAAATTTGGGGTATGCTGAGAAAGGTAAGTTTCCATTCTCTTTAGGCTTACTATCCTTGCAAGAGACTGAGTCTGTGCCAGACTCTAGTGAAAAATTCTCTATCTGCTGTTAGAATAAAAGCTGTCACCTCAAAGCTACTAAAGCACTTTAAATCACTTTTGTGTTTGTAGACTTCCCATGCATTGTTTGGTTTGAGGTTCTTGCCTGTGGATGCTTTTCACAAATACTTATTTCTGTATTTAATTTTCTCTTCGTTTCAGTTGATGCTAAGTTTGTATTGTACTCTTATAAATTCCTGGGAGAAGGAGAGGGGAGGTTTGGTGAGTGGCTTTTTGTTTTTCCTTCCCAAAATACTGTTTTCCTCTGAGGAAGTACCATTGCCATGTAACATAATCTTTATGGACTGGGGTCAGTCAGCTGAGGTCATGACTGTGAGGTCTGCACAGCAAACCTCTGTTCTTGTGGGCAGTCTCCCATCTATTTCTGGAGGCTGCCTAGATCTGTAACAGCTTTATCATGTTGTAAGCCATATTACCTCACTCAGAGCATGATGAAGGTCTCTCCTGACTGGTTTCTCTTTTGAGGCAGCCTGGCCTAAGCAAAAGGTRATTTCCAGCAGAATCCATGTGATCAAAGACTTTAATGGCTTACAGGCAAAGTTCATGTGCTCAGAGTGGTGGATATACCTTTGAAAAATATAACAAATGAATTAATAAGTAAATAAAACCCAATTGTCCTCTGAATGTTTAAACTTTCAGCAATATCCTGACTGAGATCTGACTGCTAGAAAATAAAAGGCAGATGTGCTTTTACATTGCTTATCTGATGAGTGGGCAATAATCTCATCTCTATWTTGCTGATAACAAACCTGCTTCTGACTTTAGTGAGCTATGATGGCCTCTAAGCTCTTATGTGGCACTTAGTGGCACRTGGAGAAGTTTTGATGACATGAGAAAAATGTCCTTTGTAATTTTTACAAAATTAATTGAGGTGGAATTTCCTGTGCATTAGTTTCTGTCCATTRCCTCTTGTCCTAATGCTTGRCACCACAACTGCAATAAAAAWTACRTTGAACAGACTTGTTTTTGCRGGACTAATACAGTTGTAATATTTGGTAAATATTTTTATTAGAAGTGAACWAGTGTTTTTAGTAGAAGTCAACAAGTGTCATTTTTTTTTGTACTAACAGTGGCAAATTTATTTTCTTTGAAGCTCATTGTATAGGTATTTTAAAATCACAGTTGAAAAACGAAAGCTAAAACATTCTAGCAGACTTTTTTCTTATTTTTATAAGAAAAATTGGTACTTGTTTTTATACAGATTGCTTATGAGCCTAGCTCAAAATGCTGAGTGAAGAGTTGTGTATGTTCCACCAACAACATATTGATGTGAACTGGGTAGGTTCTGAATAGAAATAATAGTTCTGATTCTGCATCCTCTCTGCTGCATCATTTCTCCATCAGATTGCATTCCTGTCACTGTTGGGCTGTATTAGTATTCCAGGAAAAGTAAGTAATATAAGTATTCCAGGAAAATGAAGTGTGTCAGTGTTAGATATAYACAAGTGCTTCTCTCTTTTGCGAGTTCAGCATTTCTTACTCTTACAGCATATGAATTCTGGCAGCTAGCCATGAATTTAATCTTCCAATCTGCTGGTGAAAACCATGCTTAGGTACTGCTCTGTAATCAATTCTGTGTCCATAATTGGAAACTATTCTTTAGTATTCAACAGAAAATAAGTCACAATTGGTTAAAATATAATTTCCTACAACATTTGTGTGTCTTCAGATTAGCTAATAAATATATTAGCCACTGGAAAATCTGTCTCTTGGAAAGTTCTTAATGAATGTTGAATTTGAAAAGACTGTTAGTGCTGTTTTCTCAGTAAGTTAGAGACCATGGACACAATGCAGAACAGGAAAGCAGTGATTTGCTGTGGAGCCRGGGAATCTGTGCCTTTTGAGCCATATAAGCTATATCTGAATCTTCCTAGAGCCTGGGGTGCTTGAGRACAGCACATGCCTCTGTTGCTGTTGTGGCAATTCAGTACCTGCACCTGCTGCTTCTCCCAGTGCTCAACAGAGACAAGTTGTCTTAAAAAGTATACAAATTGTCCTATTTTTTAAAAAAAAGTAACCAACCAACCAGCCCTGCACCAAGACCACCACCACAAAAACCTTAGTAGGGGTGCTTCAGCAATTACGATCATATCTAAGCAGAAATGAAAATGGAAGAAATGAAAAAAAAAAAAAAAGAAAAAGTTATTATCTGTGGCACTCCTCACTTTGAAAAGATTTCTGGACATAAATTCTCCATCCCCTTTAGCCTTATTGAGAAGGTGCCATGCTCTGCTTTGATGAGGGGTTTATGGATGGGACAGTGGCTACAGGAACAGTGAGATGGTATTAGGTTGCCCTCTTCAGTTGTGACAAAGTAGGTTGACTTCTGCAGAATTTTAGCAGTTTGTTGTTGCTTTTTGTACAGCATCTCACATTCTCTTCTGAATGAAGAAAGTATTTCTTGTCATTTTGAAACTGTCCCAAATAAAACAGACAAAACATATAGCTGGACATAGCACCTCTTACACATGTGATAACAAAGAAGTCTGTGTGCACAGATTGAAAGCTGATGCTCCTCTTGCAAAGGATAAAAATAAGTAATTTGTAAGAGCCGTTCTGGTGAGGCAGCATCATGTTCTCTTGAGTTTCTCTTCTGCACCTTTGCACAAGAGACTGTTACATGTCAGAATTAATGAGAATAAWTTGACCCTTCCCATCTCTGCTTCCTTTCCCCGGAACAGACAGGATAGTCAGGTTTAATTCTGAACAACGTGTTTCTTGTGAAAGGGGGAATTGGCCATTTGGGCAGAACAAATGCTGCAATGCAGAGAGAGCAGAGATGCTCCAGACAAGGTTAAACCTCTCGAAAAGGGGGGAAGCAGAATATTTTGTGGCTCACTGGCCAAAGATGCATTCCAGTGTCCAAGAGAATGCAAGAGACAAGACGGTGATAMAATTAATAGAGAGCAACTTGCACACAGCATTTCCATGCTGGTTTAAATTCATGTTTTATTCTGTGGTGTAGCCTGATGAAGGTCACTGCCKGTACTGAGCAGCAACTATCAACATCAATAAGCATCAAGAATGCTCACTGCTTCTTGGGATCTGACCCTTCCACTTTGCAAAGGCTGGCTTTCCTGACATTGACCACCGGACCATTAAAAATGTTGGTCTAACTCYTGAGTAACAGTTTTAAACAATGAACAGATATAGTTATATCTCTCTATATATAAAATTAATTTTGTCATGCAACCTTTTTTTTTTCTCCTGCATGTATTAAAAGCTTCAGTTTCATTACAATATAATGGTAAGTAGTGCTTGGTGCACAGTTTCAGAAAGGTAAACAAACAATTTGACAGTGAGGAAGGACTGAACCATCAGTACAACTGAGCTGCCAGCCAGGGCATGTTTGGATGGAGGTGGTAGGGAAGAAGGGAAGGTGCTAAGAGAATGACATTAAAGAGAGTAACAGAAAGTTGCTCAGGCTGGTTGATCTGACCTGATTCCAGGAAAAATTACTTCAAAATTTGATTTAGARTATTCAATTGAGTTTCCTGGTTGTTGTATTTGTTGTTCTCAGAAATGCCTGTTTACCCTGGGGTTTTCCTTTTTGTGGTTCAGAGGAGAAACAAAGATCCCTGGGAGGTTTAGTTTATGTTGAAATATGAAGTAGAGCAGTCAGTTTAATAATGGAAMAAATATTTGGCCACAGTTTCACGGGAGTGTTTCCACAGTCCCCTGAAGAGTGAGCTACTGGCACACCCAACTCTTTTCCTCTCTCCTGCCCCTACCTGAGATTCACAAGGAAATAAATATAAAAGTAAAAAGAAAAATCTGTGCATGGAGGGCAGAGTGGAACTGTGACRTGTTCTCACCTGCTCCTTGAGCTGGGTATTCAAAGCACCAAACCTTGGCATGATTATTTTTATTTGCCATGAAAAATACCTAAGGCTCATCTGGAGAGATCAAATTATGAAGTAAAAGGAAACTTTTAAAACTTACCTGAGCTAAACCTGTGTTTCAATGATTTGCTCTATGTTAATTACAGCCATTGATTTTGCCASTGTTTGGGCCAACCTCCTAAATGGGATTTTTGCCCCAGAGAGTGCATGCCTGCTCTATGCTACYCAGTGTGGCCTCAGGTGCAGCTTTGCCTTTCAGTTCTCACAAAGACCTTACAGGGRATGTGATGCAGTGCTGTGCAAGCAGCCTTTCAACTAAGAACTGAATCTGTAATTGACATATCTATGAAATATTATACAAAAAATTATACAAACCATTAACATCTCTGAGCAGGTTAACCACATGAGCCCCTTCAGTCTGTGCTGGATTGTGTCTCTGTGGTAACGTTTTTGATTCTGGCTTACTGAGGGTAAAGAAGCCTCAAGGAGAACTAACTGGAGAGAGAGTATAAAAAATCCATGCTCGAGTGGATAAATACAAAAACTAGATTTAATACAGCAACTGCATAAACAGTTTCAACATTCTTACATTGAACTTTGAAATAAACAAAAAGTCATGTTCAGTGATAGCCATTTGGTGGTAATAAATATGGAGAATTCAGGAATGGTGTCRTGAAAATGGATCACTGGCAATGAAACTGAAGTAAAGAAAAATTATAGTTTCGTGTACTTGGGTCAAAAGGGTTGTTCCCTATATGTAACAGGCTGTAAGATGCTTATGTGAAATCTGGAATGGAAGTAGGATGAATAAAAGGGAGAGATGAGTGCACATTCCCAAAATTCTACACTTAACTGATTGGACATCACTGGGGAAGTGTCACTCTGGTGTGACACTTATAGTCGCATTCCGAGGAGGGCTTTGAAGGACAGTGATGTTCATACCCTATTGTGGTCCATATCTGAGCTGCATCTTTGTCAGGGGGCATTTGTCAGGGTGGCTTCTCAGAGGTGTCAGTTCACTGAAGACCATGTTGGTCACATTGAGGTGACAGTATGAAAATCATCACTGCAGCCTCTAACAGATACAGACTCATCTCTTTGTTTAATACAAGGGGAGTAACATAATCGAGGAAATACCAGTGCATGATCTGGGGCTACTTTTCAGCTGGTTTGATCYCTGCAGTTTGTTTGTGCTGAAGAAGGATTGTTCCTGGAATGTCTGGTTCTGTGCTCAGAATAATGTGAAATGACATTTTTCTGCCAAGGCCAAGATCATTGCTATGGATGTCATACTGGTATCTTGCATTGGTGTGCCTGCTTCCCCTCAGAATGAGTGCAAATGTTTGAACAAATAAGTCAGAAGGATTCAGAAATGGGAGGAGGAGAAAGACAATAGGTAGGAATATTCATAACAGTGACGGCGAACACCACAGTTAGGAAAGAAATGTTAAATGAAAAAGTAAAAAAAAATATTAAGGGAAAGGAAAAAAAAAATATGAACATGAAATACAAGGCAGTGTTTGCCTCATGTAAACCAGCCAAGAGTCTATTCAAAGGATGAAAGGAAGTTTCCCAACATATTTTTAATTGAGAACTAAAAGCTCAACAAATAATGCAGTTTCACTGAAGTCTAGACTGAAGACCCTACACTGCTTGAGAGGATTAAGTGGATAATCAAAAACATTTTGTGGTTTCTGCTGTTCCCAGAGACCAAAAGTAGGGWCAGAGGAAAATGAGAGATGGCAAATGAGCCAAACTGAAAAAAAAACCCCTCAGAAATTTGCAGAAAAAGATGACTTTCCCATATCCAGCTGAAAGAGTATGAGAGTTATGAAAGAGAATACAAACACAGGATGTACAGCTATGAGCTAAAGTCCTTCTTTTTCTTTGTAGGAATATAAATAGAAGATTTTAATGCTCATTTCAGTAATTATTTAGTTTTTAATATTTCACTCAGTAAAGCTCTTTGAAGTTTTAATAATTATATTTGACAAATTGGAATGAGAACATGAAGACTAACTGATTTTATSATGCAATGTGATTATTTTCATAGACAAATTTAAAAGTAAGACCTGATCACTGTATGGTTGGAGTGCAGAAGCTTTCGTGGGATCATTAGTCTGGGATTATGTAGGAAAATTAGCTTTGGGTAACATGCCTTAATCAGACTCAGCTTATAAATAACTTCTCAGGACCTAGATGTATATTAAGGTCACATCAGATCAAGTTGTGTAATCATTATCAAAACTGTGGGACTTAAGTGTGAATGGCACTGCTAGTAGTACCAAATTTTGTTCTCMCCTACTTATTATATAACTTCTCATTAAAAAAGCCCAAACGTCAGATTATTTTTCAGGACCCACTTGCCACTCATTTGAGGAGCAAGGCAGAAGAATATGRAATAGGGATCTGACAGGTTAGGTAACTGGAAAAGTACAGAGAGAAGCACTGGGAGAAAAGACTGTCCTCAGAAATGAATGCAAAAGCCTCCTGTTACCAGGGACTATGTTTAGAGATTGTTGCCTGCAAGAAACCCTCCTCTGTTTAATTCTCAGCAGC